TTAAATAATTAATAAATTTAAAATTAATTTTTTAATATAAATTTATAATTAAAAATATATTTAATATATTTTTAAAATTCGTAAGGTGGAAGTTAAGAAAATGATTAAAAAAAATGCCTTGACTTGACTATATTGGGCGAAAAGTCTTACCCTTCAAAATACGGTAACAGTTATATTTCCTATAGATTTGCTGATTAACTCTCCATATAACCGGCTTTATGCCCTTTTTAAATATTAATCACTTTTTGCATGCAATTAAATAATTGATTATTTGCAAACTTCTTAAAACATTTTTCAAAACCAGGGGCCCACAATGACCTCTTAACAACGGCACAGCTTCCATGACAACAAATTTTGAAGTAATTACAAACCAAACATGAAACATGCCCTTAAAATAAACATATAATTGTATGTATTCATTCCTATTTTCAAACAAAAAAAAAATTGTATGTACTCATTTGAGATAATGAATAATTATTGTGTAGTTTAATTGGCATAGAATTACAAAATAAAAAATTTTACAACAAAAGTGAGCTATATTTTTTCATTAAAGAAAAAAAGAGTGGGCTATATTTCATTATATTAAGGTTAAATTTTTAATTTGATCCCTCAACTATTAATAAAATCTTGAATTGGTCCCTAAACTAAAAAAATTCATGATTTGGTTCATATTGTTTATAAATTTAATTTCAAATTGATCATTCTATTAAAAAATAACTGACGTGTCTATTACTTAAAGGTATAAAATTGTTATTTAAAAGTAGAAAATTGTTACTTAACAATAATGTATTACATAATAATGAGATATGTCATTTATTTTCGTATAGAATGATTAACTTAGGGTTAAATTAGTAAATAGTAATGATCAAATCAAAAAAAAATTTAGTTTAGGGCTTAGATTAGCGATTTAAACAATAATTGAGAGACCAAATTGGAAGTTTAACCTTATATTAATTTGTACTGAAATAGATAAATAAAAATTGTGCTATGAAACTATGGAAGGATTAATGAGTTGAAGACTGGTTAATAGGAGCTACTGGTCGGTGCCTCGGTTGACAGAGTTTTTTTTTTTTTTCTTCTTTTCAAAAAGGTTAATGATTTAATCGATCAGTGACTCCATTTCATCTAAACCGAATTACACATTATTAATTGATGTGCAAGCTCATGTTATAAGTTACTTATTCTTAAAATTTATTAGTGAAGAAAAAGAAGTTTTAATTTTTTTTTTTTTTTAAAAAGCAATATGATATATAGACATATAGTACATTTACAATTGCTGGAACAGAGATCAAGGTCAACGAAAACAGTATAAGAAAGAAACCAGTGATTTTGAATATTCAAATTGCATGTGGGTATCAAATTGAGAATAAGAATATGGACCTGATCAGCCAACATACATATCCTTGTTTCGATATTCTTGTGTTGAATGAGGTAATCAAAGTAGTAGTATGTTTCCTTGAACATGCAATATATTTTTAAAATTTTCTTCCTGTGGCACCCATACTACTTCATGCTTCATGCTTCCCAAATAAATAAACATTTTCAGATTGACCCTGCTATTCGTAGTTTTTGAATCCTTTTTTTTTTTTTTTTTTTTTTGGGGGGGGGGGTTCTTATTAATTCAATCTGTAGAAATTAACATCATTTCATTTTTTAATTGTCACGTATAATTATTATTAACTATTTACATGTAACTTTACGTAATAAATGAATGATATTTTTTTTCATAATTAAAACAAGTTACTTATAAAAAGTTACATATAAAAGAAGTGTTTTCAATTGTTATTGATCATATATGTTATATCACTTTTGTTTAACTTTAGTTGTCACATTTTTTTAAATAGAGGTGTATAATTTTTATTTTTATTTAATATAACTGTAGTTTTTAAACTTTAATTTTAATTTTTATAAAAATATTACTTATTTAGGACACCTTTAAAAATTAATTGTTTAAATAATTTATTTATTTATTTTAAACATGTTGACAAGGGTGCTTCGAAACCACCCAAAAGAAGAAAAAAATGCACTACTAACTGATTTGATGCCAGTGGGCCTCAAGTGCCGGGTGCAACTGTTCAAATAATTAAAATTTGAAGATTCTTAAAAATTTACTTATTCAAGAGTCAGGACGTCAAATTATAACAATGATGGCTGGATTGGATTTTTCTGTGTGTCTCCACTGTGAACAAGGAAAGATCTTTAGTCTTATCTCCAAGCTTGAAGATTTCTAAACTCTCGTCTGTGATGGCAATAAATGCGAGGAGTGCTAAGAATATTCAGAATTGATTAGCAAAAATTGTTGTTTTTAGAATACAATTCACAACCTTAGCAAGCCATTTTACAGTTGGACCAAGAAAAAGTTGATCTCTATGCCCTACAAAATCCAGTAGGCTCTATCCTGAAGGGTCCTTCTGCAACCCCAGAAAATTAATTAGCCTCCAGAGAAGGAAATGTTGCCATTTACAAGAACCTCATCCTGCAATATATAATTATTTGTTTACTTTTATTTGCAACACTGTTTGATGCGTCAACAATTTCAAAAAGTCACCAATATTCATTGATGGGTCAGAGTAGTTTCGAATGGATACACCACACCTGATACTACGAGCAACTAATTTAAGAAAAAAAATGTTATACAGCTTTAAACTGTATTGAAAATGATTGTGTAAGATATGTTAAAAATTTCATACATATGACACAATAAAAAGGTGGATAAAAAAACAGGAAATATCATTTCGTATTGTATACAATAAAAAAACTTTATACCCCAATTGTTAACTTTTTAAAATCTTGTTTACTTTTCAATTAAGTCCTTGATGGCGCTGATATTTTCAAAGTCGGCAGGCACTAATCTTGCTTCTCAAAGGGGTTAATTAAGCTAGCTAGTAGTTGTTTAACACTATAGTAATTAGGTCGAGGCATGTAATTAAAAATTAATTAATGAAGTGACACATAACAAGGTTAACAGGAGGTCTTGTATCAAGTCCATATCTTAATTAATTACCTGGTGAATGCTGGCCTCTTTAAGATTTTTGGTTAACCAATTTGTCTCATTTACATTCTAAGTTGATGCCAGTTAGTTATCTTTTACCTACCAAACAAAATTAGTCTGTGGTTTGGAAAATGTCACAATTCAAAAGTCCTTTATAGCTATCAATTCGTCAAATTATAATACTCCCTCTAATTAAACACTAGTGATTGGCCTTTGATTTGATTAATTAATATGTTTTCCTTGTTGATTGGCCAAAACAACCCTACTGTTGTCACTAAAGATTGGATTGCATCCTACCATGAGCTATTGTCCACTCTAGGTTGTGATGGACCTCGTGATTTTGTCCTCGTGATCAAAAAGGCCCTCATAAGGGATTATGAGTGGATTTGTCTTTCACAAATTTCTTAATCTTATAACATGGCTAATCTTTATTTGATTGAGACTGATGATAAGCACAAACTGGTTCAAAACACCATTGCACACCAGGTTAAAAAAATTGAATCGTCTTTCTTGACTTTTCTACTGGATAAATTGGACATTGGATGCTTTTTGTGAGAGAATAAGGAAGAAGAGGGGAATGGACTTAAGAGAGCAAGAGTTTTACTTTGTGTACCAATGAAGTCAAATTAACCTTTCAATTTTATAAATGGAAAGTTCTATTAGCTAAGTTTATTAACATATATAAGAGTTGGAGACTAATACAACATTGCCTTTATTTTGACTTATGTACCTCTCACTTTCTCTCTGAATAAATTGATTTTTTTTTTTTTATCACAATCCAAAACAAGCATTCTTCTCTCATTAAAAGGGCACCAAACCATACCAGCAGGCCCTCACCAAAGTTTTCATAGAAAAGTTTTTAGACCCCTGGTTCCTTAAGGAGGTCAGCATTTATCCAAGAGATCAGAACGGGTCTTAAGTTCTGTTTAGAGAGAGAGAGAGAGAGAGAGAGAGAGAGAGAGAGAGAGATAGATGGGGAGGGCTCCTTGCTGTGACAAAGCAAATGTGAAGAAGGGGCCATGGTCTCCAGAAGAAGACTCCAAGCTCAAGGAGTACATAGAGAAATATGGTACTGGCGGGAATTGGATTGCTCTTCCTCAGAAAGCTGGTAAGCTCCATCATCCCTCAAAAAAGAACCAAGATGCAATCTTTTTGCCTTTTCTTCATCTTCCTGGATGTTGTTTGTGATGGTTTTTAAATTAGGTTTAAAGAGATGTGGGAAGAGTTGCAGATTGAGGTGGCTAAACTATCTGAGGCCTAACATCAAACATGGGGAATTCACTGATGAAGAAGACAGGATCATCTGCAGCCTGTTTGCTACGATTGGGAGCAGGTGTATATTATTTTATTCAGCTGCTTCTCTCTTCCTTAGTTCCTTTCCATTTCAAAAAGCAAAAGAAACCGACCCCAGATTTATAAGATCTATATAAAATATGGCAGTGAAAAGAAAATATTTTAGGTTTTATCTGTTCAAAATTTGAAACTTTCATGTGTCAAGATTCTACTTTTTTTGGATATTTTTCTTGCATGCATGCCAAGTTTAGATTCAATATCAGAACACCCATTTCCAGCTGTTTTGGGAACACAGATTTAACTTCTTATGGAACCTTTTTCCTTTCTTTCCTAACATGCAAAAATATGTTGCAGATGGTCAATTATAGCTGCTCAGTTACCAGGCAGGACTGACAATGATATCAAGAACTACTGGAACACCAAGCTGAAGAAGAAACTCATGGTCATGGCTGCTGCTCCTCCACAATCCCAAAGAAAGCCACCACCATACCCACCCTCGTCATCTGAATCTTCCTTTTCATCACTGTACAAAGACTACACCATCCCTTATTACAGTACCTCAACAAAATCCTTCACAGGGTTTGAACCCATTTCCTCTGTTCATCAATCTAACCTTTTGCACAGCACCTCTGGCTTGGCCAGTACCAACCCTTCTTTCCTTCGGAACCCTGAAAATTTGGTTTGTCCTGTTTATTACCCATCTATGAAAGACAATTTCCTGATGTTTGGTAGTGAAACAAGCTGCAGTACTTCTTCTGATGGAAGTTGCAGCCAGATCAAACAAGAGGACCATCACATGGGTAGTACTAATTTTCAGAGTTTTACATCCTCTCGTGCATATGAAGATCAAACCCACAAATTAATGGTGAGTTATGGGAGCAATGGAGGTGAAAATGTGAACCAGTGGAATGAGAAGGCACATGGGTACTGTGGAGAAACCCAAACGGTGGACTATGATCCGGAAGAGGTTAAGCAATTGATTAGCTCAAGTAGTACTAGTAATGGCATCATTAACAACACCAACTTCTTGTTCAGTGATGAAAACAAGACGCAAGAGAAGGTCATGTACTACTACTACCACTGATTTGAGCACTGACTGCAAGTAAAATCAGAAAGATTTGATGGGGTAAGGGAAGGTGTGTGCGTGTGGAGTGGAGGTGAGATTTGCAGATATGACTTTGAGTTTCTGGGATTCTGTGTTTTTCTTTTTCTTTTTCTTTTTTTTTTTTCTTTTCTGATGAAATGAAATGAAACATTTCTTCTTTTGACGGTACGTGGTAAAAGCCTTATTATTTTGGTTTGAAGGTTTGCATTTCTTATTGGGAAGTGATGAATGATGTTGTGGATGTAAGAATCTACACTCCCTGGAACCCTCCAATGAGAAGTTAATGTTCATGAAAGCTAGAGGAAAGTTATCATCTTTCCAAGAACAAAAGATCTCTTGTCAAGCATAAAACC